CAAACACCTGACCCCTTGACCAGAGTGCAGCTTACACAGGGAGGAGAAGTGAGGTCGGAGACTTGTATCACGTTGACACAGTGCAGAAACATGCCAGTTGACCCCAGAATTTCTCAACTGCCATTGACCCTCTAGTCTAGGAAATTCAATGTGTTTCAAACAAGTCACCACCTCTTCCTCACACCGACCCAAACCCAGATAAATCCCTTCCGTTTTCACCTCCAGTAGGTCATTCACTTCCACCCACTTCCTCTCCCAGTCGCTACACCTGAAGCAACAACAGCCTCTTCTTTTACAGGTCACAGAACTCAGTCCATTCCAGGTTGCAGCCACCTCTACTTCTACCCCCAGATTTTCCATGCCTGGCTCCTTGACATCCTCCAGCAACTGATGGACAAGCTTCCCTTTTCAGCAGCCTCCTTACCCTCTGCCTTGCACCTACCTGCAGTGAGGTGCCTGTGTGCTAACATGCACACCTACTTATCCAGAAGGGAAGTTCCAGCAAAGCAACTGGCTTTGCCTGAAAGAGTCTGTTACCCAGAGAAAGCTCAAAAAAAAAAAAAAAAAAAAAAAAGAATAAGAAAAAAATGCTTGAATGAATGTTTAATCACCTGGAAAAATCAACAGTATCAGGACCTTGACATTAGACCCCAAAGAAATTCAACCTTTCTGTAAAACAAACATAGCCCTTTTCCTTCTGTGAAATAACCCTGCCCACGCTGAGACCTCCCTTCCCTCACCCCACCTTCTTACAAATCCATGACAGCCTTCGAGCCGACCACCTTTCTGTCTGAAAATGACCCAGAATTCCTTGGCTCCGTAAACCGGAACTCCACCTTGGAGTGGAGCCCAAGGTCTCAAACTCTTATACTTAGCGCCAAACAGAGAGGCCTTGGCGTCCTCTGAATTTGCTCCACACATCTGGTTACCACCCCATCCTTTGGAGGAACAAAAACAGGAAAGGCACGGAGTGCTCCTGAGGCCAAGACAGTTTCAGGGATTTGGGTGAAGCCATCCTTCACCAAAACCCCTGATGCTTGACCCCAGACAGTGAGGAAACAGTGAACTGTGGGCAAGCTAGGGTCAGCAAGAGGACATAGAAGAACATATTGAATGTGGTAAAAATAATATGCACCTAGTCCTGGCTTTGAAATCAGACAAATGCCTAGCTTCAAATCCTGGCTCCAGCATCTATATTTCTGAAGGCCACTGGGATGCTACCTCAATCCTCCGAGCCTCTCCTTCCACAGCTATCAAAAGAGATGTCACAGTACCTACTTTAAGAGGATTGTTGAGCAGTTTTGCGCCTGGATTTTATATTGGGTTCACCTACCTACTCTTTAATTTCCCACCACGAGCCAATTATTCAGACAGAAAAAAACGCAATCAGATACCAAATCAGTCTTTGTGAGTTAGCAAACCATCCTGGGTTTACCACGCTGTTTTGACATTGAACCATACAAACGGACTGACATTTACTTAACTCTCTCATGGAGGTGAGCCAAGCTGATCCCTGAATTGTGTTTATACATGTGCACAGCAAGTGAACATTCAATATGTAATTTTCAATGAAGGAATCAAATGACAAGATGAATTCTGTCTGGGCTGATCCCACTAATCAAGTCTGACAGACTAAAATCTGTTCTTGGTGGGTTCTGTTTTCTCACGGTCCATGTTGCCGGGCACTAATCTACCTGTGCTTTGCCGGGAAAGACACAGCAAGAAACTAGATGGAAATCATTAAAAAGCTACCGACTTTGACACTAGAGTTTCCTGTTCATATAGAATGTGGGGGAAACAGGCAGCTGGGATGTTAGATCTCCTTGTTTCTTTTGGAGATTATCTGCCAGTTCTTCCTTGAGTCTATCTTCAGAAACCAAAGGAATTCTTTAAGTCGGAATGATGAGTCAGCAATAAATAAACAGTAAGCCATCATTCCTCACGCCGACTGTCACCAAATTTTGCAAGGATATTTAGCAGAAGCATTCCTCTTTCAATCTTGCTCCATAAATACCGAAGGAGGAAGAACATTGCCTAAGACCAAAGTTTGACAAATGAATCTGATGAAACCGGCAATGTATAGACACATGCCACACACAGCATGGTGTCCCTGAAGGCTCCTGGTGACTAAAATTATCTAGCTCTCAGAGGTCCTACCTTAGGGTTCACAAGCAAAACACAGTTTCCTGTGGCTCAAACATGTCCATCTATCAAATCAGTAGCACATCAGGGCAATAAAGACTCCAATTCCCATCTGGGCACTTCTCCACTAAGAAAATGCACATACTTGAGCAAACTCACAGAAGGAAGCTAAGAGATAGCCATTCCCGCTGCAAAACTGCCCAGGGCTTGCTTTATAATGCCTTTATAATGGATCTAATGTCTGTGACAGGTAAAGGAATCAGCGAATACCTTTGGTTCAATACAGAATGGGGCACCTAACCAAGGAACAGTGTGCAGGGGCTATGCCTAAGTAAACACCACGCTTGCAACGAGCATGGTATAACGGCAGCTGGTCTTGGTCCCTGTCCCAGGTTGGTCACAAATGAGCTGTTTCAGAGGCGAGTGGTTTAACTCCTGTATCTTATTTCCTAACCCAGAGATGGAGAGTATCTGACAAAAGCAAATAAATATTCCCTACTGTTTATAATTACTGGGGCAATCAGATGGATATGGAGGCTGTCAGAAAACACAAAGGCTAAGCACAGGGCACTCCTCTACTACACACAGACGCATACCAAAGTAAGAGCCACCTGGAAAACTCCCTGCACCCACTCTTGCTCACACTGAAAATGCTTCCTGTTATGAATGAAGGGAATTCCTGGGATGCCGGGAAACTTCTGTGAATCAGTGTGAACACACAACTCTTGGAGCATGGGCACTGCCACCCGTCCTTAAGGACTCCGTGGCAGTTTCTGGTGCCCTAGGACAGTCACACAGGCAAATGCACCCACCCCAGCTTTGCACGGATCAGGCTCTAAGCCTATTACTTGGGTTTTACCAGACACTAACTATGTGCTAAGATTCCTCAGAACACCGAGTGCACCATGATCAGGGCAAAGGAGTCACGAACTCACAGGACTCGTAGGCTAGTGTGAGAACACAGTGGGGGTGGAGGTCACCTTCCCTTTGTTTATGACAAGTACGCTCTTCTATACCTTGGGTTTGGGTGAACTTAGCTGAAGTCAGCAGATAAATGTCTTCAACAGTATAAGAAATCAAAAACCAAAACAGGACAAAGCCCCAAGGACTCATACCGGATAAGACGTGTTGCTCTGTACTGCCCCTCTCTAAGCAGACCCTGGTGGCTCCAGGCTTGATAAAGAGCCAGGCCAGCTGCCTGAGGAGCTCTGAGTACCTGGAACTACAGGATCATGTCCAGTTCTCACCCTCCCTTCCTCCACTCTCCACATGCGTAAGTCCTAGAAACTGCTAAGGCCCTCAACTCCTTAGCAGACTGAACGTTATGTGAACAACTAACCTCAGGGATGACCAGAACGATCCAAGGCGAGGACAAAGTCACAGAAATGCTCAACACAAAATCATAACACAAATGCCAGTACATGGGGATGGTCTTTAAAGAGAAACTCAGAAGCACAGAGATGGCCCAGAACACATGCTTCTCAAACTACACCAGAAGTACCTGGGGGTGTGGTGAAACCTGACACCCAGGGCTTCCTAGGCAATGGTCCAAGGGCCATACTCCAGAGAACACTGATGAAATAAATGGACAAGGACTGCCCAGGGTGCTGTCCCTCCCGAAAGACTTCAGATCCTGATTCATTCCTCTCTTTACTTCACACCAGGCCTTATGAAAGCCCCCAATGGGAATGAAGCCACCGTGCTGCTGGCCACTGTCCCCCTAGGCAGCTGCAGGGGACACTATTGCCGATCCTGTCCTGGTCCTGATGGCTATGAACAAGATGAGTTTGCAGAATGAATGAGTTGGGGTGACAAACAGACAACACGAAATGGGGAAAGAGCACTCAGTGGTCTCCTGGTCCTGATCCTGAGGACTGTGCGGGGGATCGGTGATGAGGCTCTGCCAAGAGATGGTGCCAAGAGAATGCTGTGACCTGCTTTTCCCCTCACTAATTTGTCCTGGTGACCTGCCCCAATACACTGATTTCCTGCTGAGAGTTCACATCTCACCTCCAGACACCAAGCTGCCACCTTGCCAAGCTATCACCCCCCCCAAAGGAAGGCAGCAGGGAAGCACCTGCAGTGCACCCCAGATCCCTGCAGATCGGGACCTGAGGATTCCTGACCCAGAAAGGAGCTAATGGGATCACACTGCACGCTGTTGCTGTTTTACAAATAGCAGGAGTTCCTGCCATGATGTATTGTTCTGTGTGTGGGGAGTTAGCAGATGTTCCTAACAGACAGCGACTGTGTGACTATTGAAACAGTCTCTGCCACTGGCCTGACCTGCCAGATTTTTCTCCTTTAGCTCAAAAGGAACAATCTGCCCAGTATCCACACCCGAACTGGCCTTTTCTGGCTAAGGGACAGGAGAAGGAGCATGCGAAAAGCCAAGTTCAGGTTCAACAAGGAAAGGGAGGTGCTGGGGGCTTTGTTCCCATCACCCTGGTGAAGACAGCATATGTGTTTGCAAACACGATGATCCTCTGCATGCAAATACGTATATCTGATGGGAAAACATGACTTTCCTTCCCAGTCATAGAACTTTTAAAAACTCAGTTTTTTCTCACATGCAAAACTATACCTCAGTTCCCAAGTCCCTGGCTCAGTTTAAACTTTGTGAAGCCTTGTGAGCCAAACCTTCCAAAGCAGAGCCCAGGACCCACACAGCCTCCTCTTAGGAGGGGTCCACTGCACAGCAATCAGCTCTAGGTGAGAATACTGGCCGGGACCTCAGGAGCACGGATTAAACGCTCTTCCCCTCCCTTGCCCCCCAAGGGATCCACTCATTTGTACCCTCGGATGAGACCATGTCAGCTGTCTTCACTTCCAGCACCCTTGGTGGTTCCTGTCCTCACCTGTTTTCCAGAAGCGTCATGCAGACCACCTCTCTGACGCCAGGGTTGTTGGCCTTCTCCACAGAGCAGCCCTGCAAGTTCCAGGTGGCCAACCTAAACACAGGCCGCCCATCCCTCATCCCTCCGAAGGCTTCCACGGAAGGCCTCATGGAGATGATCTGTGTGGGCCCCCCTGGTGGCAGGTCCAAGTCCTCGCTCTGCAGGCTCAGAGAGGTGGGACTGGGATGAGGCTTGGCGGTAAAGGTAAGACCTCCATTGGTGTGAGTAGATGGGGGCCTGGACCTCTCTGCAAACACCTGGTGTCTGATTCTGTCCAGGAAGGCTGCATTGATTCCGTCCATCCTCACCAGGTCCTCCACACTGCGAAAAGGACCGTGTTCACGGCGGTAGTCCACGATGCTGACAGCCATCTTCTCCGTGAGGCCTCGGACACTCATGAGCTGAGCCAGGGTGGCTGTGTTGATATTGACTCGCGGAGTGAGGGGCACGGTGGTGGCCAGGTGATGAGACTGCTGCTCAGCCAGCAGGTCCCGCCTCAGGGAACTGGGAGAGTGCTGCGCGGAGTTACCCTTGCTGCTCACACAGATTTCAAACTTGACCTGTTCCAGTTTGGTGGCCCCTACGCCGCTGACCAGGGCTAGATCCTCCACCTTCTTGTAGCCACCGATATATTCTCGGTACTCCACGATGCTTCTGGCCACTGCGCGTGTCACCCCAGGCAGGGTCATCAGTTCCTCCTCAGTGGCGGTGTTGATGTTTAGCCGCTCCTGATTCACCAGGATGTTGCTGAAGTTGCAAGCAGCACTGAATTTACGGTTATGTGACAGGTCTGAGGGGTCTCTAGGGATAGAGCGATGGCAGCCCAGGGTGCTCCCCATGGCCAACCAACACAGAACAACTCTGGATAGAGAAGCCTGGGAGCCTTTAAAAGCACACAAGAATGGAAGGCTGCAGGACTTACGGGTCGAGGAAGTTGCTGCAGACAAACATCAAATCTTCCATGGCTAGTGTTCAAAATTTTGCTGAGCCACCTAGAAATTGACATGGAAATTGACTGAAATTAATCAATCAGCCCTTAGCACTCCTGTAGTGTTGGAAGTTCATAACTAGTGGGGGACAGGTCAACTCCTGAAAACGCAGACGCTGGGAGGCTGCCCCTTGTGGGTTTTCCTCGGATTATTTATCATACAAGCTCCAAAAAGCGAAGACAGCTATCCCCACTAGCCTCTCTGCTCTGGCAGCGCTGGAGCCACCTCCTCGCTTCGGACGCCCCCACCGGAGCTCCTGCAGACAGACCAGAATACGAAGCCCCTACCGCAGCGCGCAGGAGGGCACTGTAACTTGGGAACTCAGAGCTGACCGAGCGAGGGCAGACACTGAGCAGAGGCTCAGGGACCCACCCCCGACCCTCCGATCCCGTCCCACCTCTCCGCCGATCTGCTGGGGTCGGCCCCCGGTTCCTGGGGCTCGCCGCGCGCGTCCCGGCTCCTTCTGCAGGGGAAACTCAGTGCCGTTCTCCCGGGGCAGGCAGTGTCTGCTCAGGAGCGACAGGAGCAGCGGTGAAATTCGGCCCCCGAAGCTGACCAGGACTTGCGGCGTCGCCTCTGCGTTGATCCAGCCAAAGTCCGGCGCCCAACTCGGGCGCGAGACACGACGGAGCGCGTCCTGAGCCTCGCTCCGCGCACCCGACACTGCTCGCCGCGGGTGTCACAGCTAAAGTCGGGTCTCGCCGCCCGCCCGCGCCTCCGCCGGCACAGCCACGCCTCCTTCGCGCCAACTCCTCCTCCCGCCCTCCCGCGGCACGTAGGGGCGGGGCGCGAGCGCCAGTGGGCGGGACCATTGGTAGCCCTGGTGGGGCGGAGTCGAGGGCGGGGCTTAGAGACTGGGCGGGCAATAGGGATGGCCCACAGGGTTCCTTGTGAGCCTCTCTGCTTTTTCTGGAACCTAGGCTCCTACTGAGCTGTTTTTGTTGGGTGGAGCTGTTTAAGGCCGCCCGGGGCAATCTGGAGTCTTTCAGGTGAGGTAGGTTTGCCCAGCGAGTCCAGGGCTCCCGAAAGTCTCAGGCAGGGGATCAAATGGTCTTTACCACTCTCAGGCCTTTTCTCTTCTTAGAGTGACCTCCAGGAATGCCTGGACACCATGTGTCTCCTGTTTGTTCACAGAGGTTGTACATATGCTGCCCTTTTGCAGATGTAGCTCTCTGAGAAAATAAGGGCATGTTTCTGTTAAGTATTAAATCTAATCACTAAAACGGAAGGATATGATATTGGGAAGTGCAGGCTGCTTTCCAAAACAGTGTTTGGATCACATTGTGAAATGATAATGTAGTTAAAGATTAAAGGGCCTGATGTGTTACAAATGGATACCTGAAGCAGGAGTATTTGGTTAAACAAACCCGGCCGTGTGGCCGTGATATGGTACTATGATACGTTGGATACTTTGACCCAAGGCTGTTAGTGATCCCTAAAGAATAGATCTTAACCCAACCATCTGGCCAAGACTTCTGATTTGAATGCCGGCAGTCGGTGTTCAGATGTGAAATGCTAGGGATATTAGGACCCTCACTACTACAACTGAAGGACACCCCAGTAAGATGAGCTTCAACAAAAGGGGAGGGGAGTCCTGGTCCCTGGAGAATAGTTTTGGAGTCTACCTTGCCTCAGGCAGGCCTGCATCCTCACCAAGGATGGCTCCGGCTGAGCTGACTCTCTCCAGTCGGCTGCCAACTTTCTCTCAGTCAGCTCGATTCACAGGCACGCTGATCTCACTTGACAAGAATGCCCAGAGAAAGGAATACGAAGACAGGAAGGGAAAAAAGAAAGGAAGACAGCAGGTAGATAAACAGAAGTGCACTGATAACACCTGGACAAGTGCACACACCCCAGGATGACAGCATCAGGCGACTGATGATCAGACCGGCGAAAACACAGAACAAATGAAACGCCCACACAGCACCAGTGGGAGCTGAAGGTGGCACAGCCACTTCGCAGGCTAGCTCCACGGTTCCTTGAAAGTTAAGAGTGCGCTTGGCGTACGTCGCAGCCATTCCACTTACGGGTACACATCAGAGAGAAAAGAAAGCACAAAGCCCCAAACCCTCTACAGGGGTGTTTGTAGGTTTGTTGTAGTCAAAGATTGAAAACCTCGACTCCATCAGTTTGGGTTTGGTCTAAGTTTGTCCCCAAGTGGTTCAAGTGTTGGGAACTCAGCCCTCAGGATGATGGTATTTGGAAGTGGTGGAATTTTAAATTTTAAGGTACTTCTTGGGAGGTCACTGAGGTGCCACCTGTTGAAGGGAGGAGTGGGATGTTTGAAGGTCCCGAGTCAGTCATTGGAGGGCGTTATTACAGTAGATCAATGCTGGGTCTTGTGCTCACTATGGCTTCCAGTCTCTTGATTACCCCCTTCTTCTGCTATTATGATGCCATGTGCCATGAGGTCTTGCAGAGATGGCAACCATGCCAGCACTCTGCCCTGATGAATCTAGGACTGTGTGCCAGATAAAGCTCTTCTTCACAAGTACCTTGCTTCGGGTCTTTCATTTTAGCAACAGAAAACAAGTAGCGGAAAAAAAAAAAAAACACTTCTGGAATATTGTTGAGCAATAAAGGCAAACTATTTAACAAAAGCAGCAACAGAAAAGAAACTCAAAATCAGTTCACAGCATGAAAGACTCCGGGGAAAGAGAGAACGTGCTGCATGATTCACATACAGGCTAGAAAGTAGAAACTGCCCATGTGCAGACAATGTACCAGTGACTGTGTGGGGATGGAAGGAGGAAGGAACAGACTAAAAAGGGCACGGAGTACTTTCAAGGTGGGTGGTTGAAATGTTGCTTGAGAGGCACTGGTTGCTTATGTCAAAAGCAGTAAAATGGTATGTTTTAAATATACAGTTTGGGGCAGCTAAATTGTATGTCAAAAAACTTAGGCAAATCTTCAAAAAACAATAATTCTAAAGGAATATCTTTCTAACTTAAGGGATGAAAACGGGGGAGGGCAAGGTAAGGCAGAACTGAAAGAAGGCTGGGACTTGAAAAGGGTGAGAGAGGACAAGTTAATAGGAAAACCAGCCTGGGCGACAACCTAGAGCATATTGGACTTCCCAGAATCCACACTAACGTGGAGAGGTTGGTTACGGGCTTATTATAGAAGGAACGGGAGTTTAAATGAACGTTCTTCATCCTCTAAAGATTAGCATTCTAGCTGACCATTGAGACACATGAAGACGGCAGAGGTTGTATCATCCCAGCCAAATGCCACACGGAGTGGCCTTTGCCCCTTATAACCCAGTTCTCATTTAAGGCCCCGTCAGAGAGGAGCAGGTCAGAGACCTTTCACTTATTAGTCAGTAGTTTCAAAGATAAAGAGTGACCAGGGAGAGTGGTGGAAGTTTGGTCAGACTCCAGTTTCGATACCATGGTACAGGCTCTGGGAGACAGTAAGGAGTCCAATTCTGGTTTCCTCTACTCCCAGAGCCCTTGGGCATCAGGGATGTAGACAAGGAGTTAGGGAGAGTACTGAATGTTAAAGAGGAGAAGAACGGGACATGACCATAAAATAATGATAGCATACTCTAAAGAACATTCCAGGGAAGTGAGGCTTAATGTAAAACTTGAAAGTAATGAGGAAATGATGTCTCAACCCACAAACTCCCAGTCCCTTCAAAGCAAAAGTAATCCCCACTTCCCAAATCAATAATGTCCAAACAGCTTCTGACAGGAACCTTGGCACCAACCTTATGAATTGGTCAAGACAGATGTTGTTCTGAACAGCAGTGTGACAAAGCAACAACTCCTTTTTTGTGTGACCTCGACAGTAGTTCTGTCCCTGTGTGCTAAAGTGTTCCCTGTGTTTGATCTGATGAACGTCCTGGCATTGTCAGGGCTCTGGAACGTTCTGGATCAGGCCTGCCCCACTGCAAGTCATTCCATGGGGTGGCAGAGAAGGACAACTGATAGATACCTGGACAGTGTCCACAGAAGTTCCTGTGGCCTTCACACCCGGTTGTGGAATCTGCTGTGGACGCTCAGCTTAAACTCCACCTAGCAACAAAGTCCGTGTACTGGCCGGCTTTGTGTGTCAACTTGACACAAGCTAGAGTCATCAGAGGAAGAAGCCTAAGCTGAGGAAATGCTGCCATGAGATCCAGCTGTAAGGCATTTTCTCAATTAGTGATGAATGGGGGAGGGAGAGCAGCGCCCAGCCCATTGTGGGTGGTGCCATCCCTGGGCTGGTGGTTCTTTCTATAAGAAAGCAGACTTAGCAAGCCATAGGAAGTAGCCCCCTCCGTGGCCTCTCCATCAGCTCCTGCCTCTAGGATCCTGCCTTGTTTGAGTTCCTGTCCTGACTTCCTTTGATGATGAATAGCAATGTGGAAGTATAAGCCAAATAGACCCTTTACTCCCCACAACTTGCTTTTTGATCATGGTGCTTCATCACAGCAATAGAAACCCTATCGTAAGACATGCCCCCACATCTCTGAATATCCTGTGCTCTGCCGCAGCCCAACCTGAGGAGGCTGTGCCTGCTGTCCAGGTAAGCCAGCCTCCCAGAGGCCTCCGCACCACATTCCTCTCGCCATATTGTGGCCCCTCGCTGCTGGACTGGAGACATCTAGCTCCTCTGCAAGGAGAGGCCACATGGGGGAGAATCAGAGCAGCACAGCCCGTTCAGCTCCCAGGCCCAGCGCTGCGAGGCCTCTGGAACCTTCATCCAGACCAGCTACAGCAGATGGGTCCATAGGAGGAGTCCAGTAGAGACCCAAGGGCAGAGAAGCTATTCAGCAGTGCCCAGGCACCCAAAGACTATGAGAGAGGTCAGAGGTCAGAAGTCAATGCATATCACTATCACGGTGACCCCTCACAGCAGGCTCATCACACAGTCTGTGGCCTGAGTTTGTTTCCCAGCAAGAAGAGAGTAGCACAACTCCCAAGGCAGCCCTGTTCACACACAGGAACGCCCAGACCCTTTCTCTCCAGGTAGTGGTTTCCTTCGGGAATGTTTTTGTTTGATTTTCGGTTCGGCCACGAGATGATTTTCAAGCACTCAGGGACTTCCCCTTGCAAAGTTGCAGAGGATGGTTGGTGACAGGCGCATCTGTCAGAATAATGTGTCAACTCTGAGACGAGAACCACGGCTTTGCTCACCACTGTGTGTTTTGTGTTTTCTACAGGACAAAGACATGGAACAGAGTAGAGAGGACGTGAGGGGAAGTGGAGAAACAGGCAGTTCAGTCTCTGAAGTGCCCAGCCTCGCTCCTCTGTTTTTGGGCTCCTTACAGCTGAACATGAGGCAATACTTCTGAGGGCCCTGGAGCAGCTAGGTGCCCTGTCGACTAGATCTGGCTATACTAAGCCCTGGCCATTTCTGTACTTCCCAGCTCCACTTCGTTCAACAGTGTCAGCCAGGTGAGTCAGGGGTGCCACAGCGTGGGCTTCCTGCTCTCACCCCCCTCTGTCAGCATCTAATCTACACTGTTGTTTCCACTGCTGTGGGCTGGCTTTTGTCTACATCTTTCTGTCTTGTTGGCCTTTTGCCCTGAAATTTGGCTCAGGCTCTGGATTTCTGTGTTGCTTTGTTGTTGTTGTTTTTGGGTTGTGGTTTTAGTTGTGACACCTCTCATGAAGCACTGAGGTAAGAATGGCAGCCATACTGAAACTTGGCTTCTTGGGGTTTCCAAGGATGCTGTGTGCTTCCTTGCAAGCTGAGGAAGCAGCACAGATAAAGGTGGAATTCGTGTCAGAT